TTGTCCATCTGTGCTAGCCGCACTCAGTCTCAGGTGAAGCACCACCCCTATCCAGATGTGGCTCATGGGCCTGAGCTCTGACTTCTGAGCAGCTCAAAAGCCTTGTGACTCAGACACCGGGGAAACCATTGCACCCACTGAGCCCTTCCCAGGAGGTTAACCCCAACCTGACACAGGAACCCCAGGGTCCCTGGAGTCAGAAACCCTGGGGTAGGGGTCTGGGCGGGGCTGCCAAAGCTGAGCTTCTTTATGAGGATTGCAGGGGGCTCCTCAGGATGGGCTCTGGCCGAGACCTGCAGGGTCTTTCTCAGGGTCATTGTCATGGGGAGGGGCCGAGGGAACTGCACTAAGATTGGTCTCTTTCTGCTGAGCGACTCCATCAGACTGGCCCTTCTCTCTGTGGAGAATGTCTGCAGGGCTGGAATCCAGGAAGGCAACTCTGATCTTAGAAAGTTTGTCTCCACTGTGTGTGTCCTGCACTAAATGCCCAAACCCAACCTGGGAGATGATGCAGAGGGGGATGGAGGCAGAGTCCAGGGCTATCAGTCCTGTGTTCACCCACCCAACACCCAGAGGTCAGAGAGCAATCACTCACTGTATACATTGAGCCGTCCAAATCCTATTTCTTTTATATAGTCTGGAAGGTAGGCTACTAAGGTGTAGTTTCCTGTGTCCTTCTGGATGACACCCTTTATCTGCAAGGATCCGTCAAAGTTTACTTGCTCTCGACCGCTGTATGCAGGTCCTGTTCTATATGACAGGAACATTCCAAGAAATGCAATATGATGTTTGTAGTTTTCCCCTTCCCCCCTGTACCACACAAAGCCTCTAACATCCGGAGGCATATTGCGGATATGTAGAATCACATCCTGTCCTTCAGCAGCATTGGTTGACACAACAGCGAGTTGGGCAGTGGTGGGCAGGCAGCAGAAATTTAAGAGTGAAACTAGGAGGGAAGAGAGAAATTGATCAATATTTGGATGTATATGTTGGGATGGAAAGATGAGGTCCTGGATTTGGAACAGATCCCTTCATCTCAGCCTTGGTGTGTGTGAGCGTGTGTGTGTGAGTGTGGTCAAGGTCAACAGCATGACCACCAATACTTCAGCACCTGTGAACCTGTTACTTTTTCTGTTTCTCAGTCTTTTTGCCAGGTGTCTGTTCAGCTCACCCACTCACTGCCTCCGACCCCTGGTGACATTTAGGAGGGTCCATAGGAGGCACCTTCATGGAACACTTCCCTAAAGACACTCTATTAATCACCTTCTGACCTGTCACTGCTCTGTTGTTCTTTTAATAACACTTGTGGATACCTGACATCACATGTAGATATTTTCTTATCTCTCTCCACCCACAGAACGTGAGCTCCATGGGGACAGGGGCTTGTCACATCTTGCATCCCCAGTGCATGCAACAGGCTGCAAATACCTGTGGGTGAATGAAAGTTCCCAGAGTCCTGAACCTCTTGGGGTGTATTTCTCCTTGGCTGGTGGTAAGGATGATGTTTAGCACCCCTGATTAAGTTTTTCTCTGGTGCCACCTGACATAAATTGTTATTATGGTCAGTTTCCAAAATTCAATACTCAGTGATGAATAACTTAGGAATTTACAGCAACTGAATTTCCCCTGCCCCACTCCACTTCCAGATCATGAGATTTCCCAGTTACCTGTTACCCATCTCCCTTTCCCATCCTACTCTGCCCCCTGACCTCTCCCCTCAGGTCCACACAGAAGCCCTCCCTCCACTCCCCAGGAGACCCCAGCAAGTCCCCGTGTTTCCTGCTTCAGTCCAACCCCAGGGATTGTTCCTTCCTTACCGGTCAACAGGAGGCCCTGCCAGGGGATAGGTCCTCTGCAGATAGGGGCTGAGAGTGAGTCCATGGTGTCTGCTTCCTGCACTGTCCCTCCCTCTGCGAGAAGAGCTTGGATTCCAGGAAAGCTCAAAGGCACCGCTGTACAAACTGGTGGGATCTGCTGTCCCTCTTCACTGTGCACTGGGCCTCCTCCTGGTGCAAGATCACTTACCTGCTCACGTGGACCAGGGCGGAGTTTGTGCCAAAGACCCACCTCCTCCTCCCCTCATTTTTGCCACCCTTTCCCCCTCCTTCCAGCTTACCATCTCTAAATGTTGGTTCCCTTGGAGCTGCTGAGGTTTCTGAACACTCAGAAACATTCACATGCTCTGTTTGGAAAAGCACCAGCCTGGAGCATCCAGGTCATGTGCATTCCCCATGGCTCCCAGTCAGGTGCACAGTAGCCTCCCCCACATCCCTCTCTCTTTCACATTTGATTTTCCCTTCAGGGCAGGAGTTCTGGGGCCACCTCAGGAACTCTTCTCACAGGGATGTCACCACCACTGTACATCGGATCACCTGTGAAACTTTGTAAAGATTGCTATGCCCAGGTGACACCATAGATGCTGCTTTAGCAGCTGTCCAGCTAATGTGGATGCCCAACCAGAATGAGATCTGGTGATGTGGTGATGGGACACCCCTCCCTGTCTCCTGTGCAAAGGGAGGGTCTCCACATCCTATTAAAATGCAGATTCTGACTCTGCAGGTGTGCACTGGACCAGAGACTCTGCATCTGATGAGCTCTGTGGGAAGGTGGGTCTCACTGGCCTGTGGAGCTCCCTTGCAATAGCAAGGCTGAAGGAGGCACATGTTCCCTGAGAGGATGACCCTCTCACCCCAGCATTGGCCTCTGCTGTGTCTTGGTCTTGGGTCTGTCAGCACCACACAGAGAGCCCCACAGGCCCCAAACTGGGGATTATTTCTGTTTCAGACACAGAAACACAGCCTGGCACTGGGTCTGCCCCGTGTTCTCAAATGTGCTGCAAAGGTTGGATTTCCTCCAAACAGGAATGCCGCAGAGATGACTGGGGTGAGAAGGGGTCAAGCTGGTTGAGGACTACTGAGGGGACCCTCCCTCTATCGCAGGTTGTCACCAGCCTGGCCTTTGCTTCCAGGGACAGAGACCCAGGACCAGGAGTCTCAGGAGGCCCTGCAGTTCCTGGGAGTGAAGGGGAAGGTGTCCTGCCTGTCCTCGGAAGAGAGGACTGTGGTGGGAGCTCAGGTGGCTGTGGTCTCCCTGGTTATCAGGGGTAGTTTCTGGGAGAACCTCCCTCTCTGTTGGCTGAGCCTGTCGTGGTGCTCCCTGACCTTGGGGCGGTGTCTGTTCTCTGCCTGGGGGAGTTTCCTTTCATTACCCCACCTTGTTCATGGGTGGTGCCAGGGAGCAGCAAATAGAGCCCTGAGAAAGCAGGTGCTCTTGGGCCTGTTAAAGTAAGAAACTTCCCAACCTGTGAAAATTTTCATGAGTTTATTTGAACCAAGCTAACGTCATATGCCTGGAACAAGATCTCAAATCTTACCTGGGCTGTTGTGCAACTTATTTTATACATTATAATAAAAAAAGAAGATGGAATAAGTTGTGTGAAATCCATTAGGAAGTGAAGAAATTTCTAGAATTGATAAATAGCAGAATGGAGAAACAGTTTTGTTTTGTTTTTACTTTGGTGGGTCCAGGATAATTAACATTTAGAACACATAGAGAGGTTGTGCAAGGAACCAGGTAACCTAAGAAGTATGTTGTCTCATATGCTGGTCCCAGAGTCTGTGCCATCAAATCGTCTTGCAAAGAACAAGTATTCTGATGTATCAAAGGTATGTTATCCAAGATGGATAAGAACAGGGAACAGGGCTCACTTTACGTAAAGTCTGACCTTTGCTAACAAAGCTGTAGGCCTGGGATATGACTACCTGACATCACCTGCCCTGTTAGGAATTTGTGATCAGTCCATCCTGTGCAGTTATTTTTGGTCACTGAGCTTGTCAGGCCTGCCATGTGACCCCCTGGGCTTGTCAGGCTTATTTTACAGCCCCTTTTTATTGTTGTTGTTTTATTCACGGTCCCTAGAAGTAGCAGGTGGGATACAGTAGTCATGAAGGCGGATTCCAAAAGCATCTGTGGGAGCAGGGGATGGAAATCAGGCTCCTTCTGCAGCTCCTTTGGCAAAGCCAGGTTCATGTGTGAATACCCTGTATTGTCTGTGTGTCTAAATGTCGCCCCCTAGAGAGCAGAAGGAGAAATGCAGCCTATGTCAGGTGCTGCACCAGGGATGCTGACCAGAGAATGAGAGCTGACCCTGACACCTGGGTAAAGGTGGTCTATGTCCTTCAAGCTTAAAGGCCAGTCAGTCGGGGTCCAGTCACTGTGGGCTCCAGGCCTCTTGACTCCATCCCAGAGTAGGGTGAGCCCAGTAAAAGGACAGGATCTGGGGCTGCTTCCATCTCAGAGTGGCTGAGGGTCCAGAGGATTATGAGTCCAGTGTCATGAGAACTGTCCCCTCTGGTTGATGTGCTGTTTCAGGAGGAACTCTCTGTCCCAAAGGTTTCAAGAACAGGTCCTGGTGATGTCTCTTCTGTGGCTTTTAGTAGAGTGAGCCAAACTGGATGGCTGATCCCCCAAATGCCCTGTGCATCTCCATCATTGCATTGGGGTGTTGCATTCAAGTCACCTGTGTCCCTGTCCATCCTCTGCTGTAGTCCTCCCCCAGGGCCCAGGGTCTGAAGTAGCTCCACTTGGTGTGTCAACCACAGGAGCTGTTTCCCTCTGTTAGGGGAGGGGAGGCCCCTGTGGGACCCTCAGTCCTCTTGTTATGGTTGACTCAGCGAGATAGACCACTGACTCAGAATTTAAATTTAGGAACTTTTATTAAGCTGGCCAGCTGTCTGCAGTTCAGCCTTTGCTTCGAACTGCAGCACCTGACTCCAAGAGTTATGGCAATTTATATGCAAAAACTACAAAGTTACAAAGTCATGCTTACGCAATTTGTTCTTGACACAGCACAGCATTATCACCTTCCTATCTATGTTTTCTGGGAACAGAGAGCACAGTATACATTGAGGAGGGACCATGAGACCATATCTCAAGGCCTGACCTGATGTCAGTACCTTCCTATCTGTCTGTTCCAGGAACAGACAGCACAGCGTGCCCCGATATGCAGCCCAGTACATTCCCTACTGGTCTTATTCCCGAATCAAATCTTTGATTCAGCGCCCTCCTCTACGATATGAAATTGAGGAGGCATTTGGCAATGCAGGGCCCAAATATGAGTCCTAGGAGGAGCAGAACAACTGGTCCTGCCAAGGAGGAGAGCAGGGTAGTTAGCCAGGGGGACCAGGAAGTTTTAGCTGGGGCTGGGTGCTGTGGCTGGCTCGGCCTCTCTGGCTTGTCTAGGGGACGCAAGGGGCCAATCGGGTTGAACCACCGGGGAAGAGTCCGGAGTTGAATGGTGAAGAGCTGGCCAGGGTCTCGGCCGCTTACATAGAGTCTTAGTCCCCAGGTCTTTCCCCCTTCCCATTGGTCAGTCCACCAGGCGAGAGGCATGAGGAGGACGGGGTTACAATTTCTGATCGTGCAGTTCTTCGGGGCCCATCCCTCGACGCTGTCGTTCGTTTTCTTAACCTGCGTACGATGGATCCAGTGCCTCTTTCCTGCGACTTTGATGGCGGTTGGAGTGCTCAGCACCACCTGGTAGGGTCCATCCCATCTAGGTTCCAGGCTGCCAGGGTCGTGACGCTTCACCCAAACGAGATCTCCCGGAGAGAAGGCAGGCTGTGTTGGACTGGATCTCAGCACGTCCTCCTCCCGTATGGCTTTCACCACCCGTCGTGCTGACGTGGCGCTGCTCTGCAAAGCCTGTAAGGACTTAAGCAAATTTTGGGTAGAGAGACGGGCGACTTCCTCCTCCCCCAACCTGGGCACCAATGGCAGCGGTTGCCCAAACATTATCTTAAAAAAGGAGTTAGCCCTTGGATGCATGGGGTGCACCTAGCTCTGAAGAGAGCAAAAGGAAGGAGACTTACCCAGTTTTCGCCAGTCTCTAATTTTAATTTAGTTAATGTTTCCTTTAAGATTAAATTTATCCTCTCTACCTGTCCAGAACTCTGTGGTCTATAAACACAATGCAATTTTCAAGTAACTCCTAGGGCCTTAACTATGGATTGTAACTTGGGCGATAAACGCCAGGCCATCGTCGGACCCATGTATAGTGGCAGGCTAAACCGGGGGACAATTTCGGTGAGGAGTTTTCTAACTACTACCTGTGCTGTCTCTGCCTTGGTTGGGTATGCCTCAGGCCAGCCAGAGAAGGTATCAATGAAAACCAGCAAGTATTTATACCCTCCTTGTCCTCCTGGTATCTCGGTGAAGTCCACTTCCCAGTGTTCTCCGGGGTTCTGACCTCGGAATCACTGTCCCGGCATGGCCACAACAGGGGGCCCTTGATTCACCCAGGCACACACTTGGCACCTTCTAGCCAACTCTTGAGATATTTTCTGGAGCCCTGGGATGTAAAATTCTCTTCCCAGTAGTTCTGATAGCTTCATTCCCCCAGGTGGGTGCTCTGGTGGGTCTGGGAAGCGATGGTCCGCCCCAGGGCTTCTGGCATTATAGGCCTCCCATCTGGCAGAATTAGCCATCCAGCCTCTCCTTCCCGGGCCCTTAGTTTCTCAGCTAGCCTCTGCTCCTCTGGCAGATGAGTAGGCTTCTCTGGGTGCCTTCGTGCTGGCAGGGCTACGAGAACTTCTAGGGGCCCTACTGGTCTTTTAGTCAATTCCTTGGCCCCTATATGGCTGCCAGGTTGTTAAGTATCTCAGGAGCTTTTTCCTTTCCTCCTGAGGTCAGGAGACTTCTTTAAGGTGGCTCCCGTGTCCTCCTGTAAGGGCAGTGTGAGGAGATATATCCCTGTAGTCCCTGGGTAGGTCTGGCAGGGCCAGTGCCGGGGCGCTTACCAGGGCTTCTTAGATCTCCCCTGGATCCTCCTCATGTGCCCCCCGCTACCGGGTACCTCCCTCTATGAAGCTGCTCCCGTCATCCGTGTAGAGGGTCTCATCCGGATTCTGCAGGGCTGGTCCACAAGGTCCTCACGGAGGGAAGTGAGGGTAGTCAGTGTCTCCTTGCAGTCAGGCAAAGGGGCCTCTGCCTTCTTGTCAGGGAGGAGTGTGGCAGGGTTCAAGGCAGCTGTTTTCAGGAAGCTGAAATGTTTACTCTTTTTCCCTTTCCCTACCAGAGGGCCTGAGTGAGTGCTATGTGTTCCACAAGGAAGTCCACCTTTTGGCCCCCCACTGTCAGGGTTATTCTGGGCTCCTGGGGGCCAGCCGAGCCCCAACAACCCCAATCCACCTCCTCCACCAGCATGGGAGTCGGATCCCCCGCACGTTCAGGGCACTCCCTTTTCCAATGTCCTTCCTTTCTGCAAAATGCACATTGATTTTTCCCAAGCCTGGGTTGGACTCCTTTTCTTCCGCGAGGCTTTTCTTTGCCCTTGTTGTCTCTCTGGCCCCTTGGGCCACTTTTTCTCGTTTAGGGCCAGGAGGACCTTGGCCATCCAGGTCTTTAAACCTGCCATTGGGTCCTTCAGATTGTCAAAAACCTTCTGGGCCACCTCAACCAATTTAGAGATTGATTTCCTTTCAAAGCCTTCTAACTTCTGTCATTTTTTCCTAATATTTGGGGCCGACTTGGAAACAAATGCAACATTGACAGCCCTCCGACTTTCCAGAGCATCAGGGTTAGGCCCCTGGACTGTCTCTGTCACCTTAGAGAGGTTTGTGGGTCTCCAAGCAGCAGCTCGGATGCCCCCTAATAGAGTCTGGCGATACCGATCGAGAACCTCCTTTCCCCTGTCACTATAGGGGTTCCAGTTGGGTTGCCTGGAGGGAAACACAGCCTCTAATCTGTCTTTTATTTGTTCTTTCAGAATGGACTAAAGGAGCTTTATTTCCCTACAGGGTCTTATATGTCACAGGACCTCACAGGGTCTGTAATTCCTGTAACAGAGGGCTAGTATTCACCACTTTATTAACCCCCTCTGTTCTAGACAGGCCTTTCCCAGTTTCCTACAGTTGAGGTTTTGTGCCACCCCTGACATGGGCATGGTCACACAGGCCTGTAAGACAGTATACAGGTTGCTAACTGTCAACTGTCTCTCAATAGAGACCAAAATTTAATGGGTATTCTTCTTTGCTCACCTGGGCAACTGCCCTCTCGGCAGCTAGACACACTTTACTTTTTGGGTTCATTCCACATAGCCTTTTTCCAGGACAGTTTACACATAGGCCAGTTCTTCTTTCTAGCCACAAATACAGTTTGTCCAATTTCCTTAAAATGTATTCTGGCACAGGAGAAAGTTGTTTTGCTGTACATAGGTAGCTTAATCCCTATACAACTGGTCTTGGACCACTGTCTAGCAAATTGCAGTCTATAAGTTCAATATGTAGCCTCCGGTCCTCCTAACCCAACGAGGTTTCGGCTAGTCTCTGAGTCAGACTTCTCCTCTCTTGGAGAATTTCAAAGTCCTGATGGCTCCCAGGTCCAGGGAGAGTGCCCTTCTCTTAACTCTATTTATAGTTACAGGGCCCTGCTTTCCTTGTCATCCCACCAGTCCCCTTCTCTCAGCCCAGGCCCGATTGATTCAGCACTGGAGGGGTTAAAAAGAATAAACCAGGGCAGAGAAAGACTGTGCTTAGTTTCTTTTTGTGACCTTGAAGTTCATTGATAAGACCTGTTAGGTCTGCAGCCAGTAACTTAACTGCCAACACCCCCGCCCCCCTTCTCTCATTCACTCCCTAATCTGGTCTGGAGCTGGGAATAGCGCCTCGGTCTGCCTTGCTTCCCCAGAGGGCTGCCTGTCTAGCCCCAGATCTAGAGGGCCGGCCTGCCGTAGTGGCAACATAGGAACTGCAGGACTGGCAGATGTCGCAAGGTCCTGCAGGTTCTCCCCCGCCCCCTCTCTCTCCCCATACGCTATCCCTGTCTAGTATGGGATGGACTGAAGGGGTTGAAGGACGACAAAGCCCTTCCCGTCGGTGGGTGCGGAAGGAAGACAATTGGCATCGGGGGAGGCAGGGGCTCCGGGTCAAGAGCTGGTGGCGTGGCCTGGGCCTGAGGCCCGGGCTCACCCGAATCCGGCGCCAGGGGACCATAGGGGGCGGCCGGCTAATGGGTTCTTCCTGCTCTCCCTGAAGGACCGGGGGAGCCTTTCCCTTCTGGGGCCCGGCCAAAAGAATTGTCTGTCTCTGTCCCAATTTTCCCTCGGGAGGCAAGCCCTCATTTACTGGGGTTTCTTGGACAATATGTCAACCTAAATTTGAATATAAGGAATTTGATTAGGATGCCCTGGGCGGCCGTGTATGATGTAATGGACCCGGTAGGCAGTGGTCAGATCAAAGGACCCTGCATCCGGCCACCCCTCCTGGAAAGTGGGCCACTCTCATTCACAGAATCGCTGTAAATCAAAAGCATTAACATTATAACCTTTAAATCTACCCTAGAACTTCAGTTTAATACAGTAAATTACAACCTAGGTAAGAGCAGCTGATAGACAGAAATCTTTATTAACTAAGTGGGCTAATTCTCCTTAACAGTGAGCAAAAGACTCTGAGAAAAATAATTCCCGCAGCTGCCGAGAGACTGTTTGCATACTGCTAAGGGGCCAGCCCAAACAGTCAGCCAAGCGTATCAACAGAAAGCAGAATAAATCAAAGTAGCTCTTACTTCACACAGACCAGTAATGATTTACACTTTTTTTCCTCCTTCTCAGTAGTAAATTGGCTAGTCCCACACAAACTTTGTCCCGACCCCATGATGATTGGTGGCGAGAGACAGACAAGGGAGGGGGTGACCTGTTTTCACAGATCCTCACTCAGATGCCCACCTGGCCGTGTCCCTTGGGAGCTTAGATTCGTCGTAGCTAAGGTGCACCCGTATAAACCCCGGGCCTGGTCACCTCCACATGGGGGTGAGTCACCGTTATGCCATATGACGAATCACAGAACCGCAGGTTGGGGCCCACTTGGACTCCGTAACCGAAGTCGTGGAGCCACATAAAGGAGAGGAGAGGGCAGGCCCCTTCCCTCCACACTCACACACTTTCACCAGACATTCACTCAGAGTTTAAACAATCCACCCAATTCCTAACAATTTCCTAATTCCTGAGGGAGCTCTATAGCTTCCCGGGAGGTGATCAAGCTCCCCTTCCACTCACCTGGAGTGGGCCTGACTGATAGGGGGTCGACGAAGATAACTGACCCTATCCCATTTGATAAAGACAAAGACAACAAAGAACAAAGACAAAATAAATCAGCCAAATGCAACCTAAGGTTGCCCGGAACCTGCAGCTTGCTCCTTGAAGTCCTGAAAATGTTCAAAAAACACTGCAGCAGGGTGTACACAGATGCAGACAACTTTTTAACAATAAACAGCAAGACAAACAAATACCAGACAGACAAACCCAGTGCAGCCTACAGCCGCACGAACCAGGGACCCCGGCCACCGTCGTGGCCACGGGTCAGGACCAGGAGTACCGCTGCGTCCAGCCCTCCGTATAGGTCCTTCCGTGGGACGTCCCAATTCCTGTTTAACGACCGGTCCTTACCTCTCTCGAGAGTCCAGGTGGTTCGGTTTCCGAATTGAAAGTTTTGGGTGGACTGGAGGCCTCCTTGGTAGTTGTTCTCCACAGGTGTGGGGTATCTCGCTGAGTGCCCGGCAACAAGTGGGGGAGAGCCTCCTGCCTTGAATAGGGGGTCCCTCTCCTCCCTGCTGGGGGAGAGCCTCCTGCCCTAAATAAGGGGTCCCTCTCCTCCCTGCCGGGTATCTCGCTGGGGCCTCCATATGTTATGGTTGACTCAGCGAGATAGACCACTGACTCAGAATTTAAATTTAGGAACTTTTATTAAGCTGGCCAGCTGTCTGCAGTTCAGCCTTTGCTTCGAACTGCAGCACCTGACTCCAAGAGTTATGGCAATTTATATGCAAAAACTACAAAGTTACAAAGTCATGCTTACACAATTTGTTCTTGACACAGCACAGCATTATCACCTTCCTATCTATGTTTTCTGGGAACAGAGAGCACAGTATACATTGAGGAGGGACCATGAGACCATATCTCAAGGCCTGACCTGATGTCAGTACCTTCCTATCTGTCTGTTCCAGGAACAGACAGCACAGCGTGCCCTGATATCCAGCCCAGTACATTCTGAGATGGAAGCAAACCCAGATCCTGAATTCTCCTGTCCCATCCTGCTGAGGACGTTCCCCTTGCTCCCCAGGACCTCATGGGCGGGTGAGATGTTCAGGGACTACATCATGCAGGTGTCCCACAGACCAGGCACCTTGGGTTTGGGAGTCATCCCCGGATTCCTTTAAGGTCAGTGTGAGCTCTCTTTTCCCATGGTAGTACCTCTACCTGGGGTGAAAGATCCAGAGTGTCTGCCAGATCAGGGCTCTGTGAGAAGACAAAGAACAGAGGCTACTGTCCAGGCCCCAGGAATATGAGACAGCACTCACAAGGTGGAAATGGGGAGGGCTGTGATTTTCTGAGAATGAAGGAAGGTCTGACTCTTCACTCTTAGTTGGTCCTATCTCCCGCCCCCCTTATTGGGTGAGGGGGAAAAACCCATCCCTGGTCATCCCTGCACACTTGTGGCTTCCTCCCATGCTGATACCAATGCCTTCGTGCCAATAAGGATCATAGTTTGACCACTAGTGTCACACAGGGTGACAGGATTCCATTGGGTGGTTTCTCTCATCCATTTAATGAGTGTTTACTGAGCATCTGTGATGTGTCAGGCCTGGAATGTGCCCTGGGACCTGAGAAAACAGGACATAGTTTGGACCTGTGCTCATGGAGTTTACCTTGTAACAAAGACAGGCTCTCAGAGAAATCACAGCACTAAGGAGATAATTATAATCCAGAGAAGGACCATGAAGAAAGAGTTGTATGTACTTGAGTCTCAGTTTGTCTGGGGATCACAGAGAGCATTTCTGAGAAAGTGACCTCTTGGCTGAGACCTGAAGAATGAGTGGCCATTCACCCTATGGACAGAGGGTGGTGGAGAAGAGCTGCCTGCAGAGGACTGAACTTTGTGGGCAGATACCTGACTGGATAGAGGAGCTTTCGAAGTCTAGTGTGGGCAGTGTGAAGAGTGAGAAGGAATATGGACTGAGTAATGCTGGTGAAGTTGGACACTGCTGGGCTGTGGGTGCTGCTGAGGTTGGGTCAGGAGACACCTTAAGAGGCTGCAGGCTGTGGGGTAGCTCACCTCCCTTTGTTGGAAAAGGTGAAAAATGTGCAAGAAAAAAGTCATGTTACAGTTTTGAATTTTCTATTCAACTTATACTTTAAGCAATATTTCATATGTGTATATTTAAATTTCACATATTTATTGACTTTTAGTTGGCATATAATAAAGTTACCATATTGAAAGTATACAAATTATTAAGTTTGCCAGATGAAAGCACCATAGAAGTTGTTACAATCAAGAAATCTTCACTCTTTAAGTCTCCGCAGGCCCTCTTATAATCTCCTCACTCTGTCCATCTTCCACTCCCTCCAACTCTTATCTGCTTTCGGTCATTATAGATGAGTTTGCATTTTCTGCAGTTTTCATAATTTGAACCATATAATGTGTAAATTTTGGTGAATGTTGACTTCTAGAATCAACGCCATTATCTTGAAATAGTTCTTTCCTTTTTAATCCCTCAGGTCTATTACATGGTAGGATGCACCAAACTAGTTTAGCCATTCGCCCATTCATGGACATTTGTGTTGATTCCCATTTTGGACTATTTCAGGTAAACCAGGCATTAACACTTGTGCAGAAAGGTCTTTAGCACAGAATTAGGTGCATGTAAAACCAATGAAGGGCCCGAAAAATGGAAGTTAGGGAGTTGACACAGGAAGTCTGGTTTAAGGTCCCACTGCCACAGCCCCACCCAGAGTGAAAGAAACACCTGCTTCTTCACATAAAGCTCTGTTGGCAGAATCCACCCACCAGGAGCAGGAATCACAGCCCTTCTCCCTTCCAGAGTCCAAACAACACGCAAGTGCATGTCAGAGGATGAAATTAAATCACACCTGGATTCCCAGTCATTAGAAGTGGGAAAGGTGGTATTTAACCTGTCAGCCCCTCTGGTATAGTTGGAAATATAGAAATGGGTGGAGCATAGATGTCAAGTGCCAATAGACAATACATGGCATGGTTGAGTCCACTTGCAGGCTGTGTGACTCTGGGCAAGCGATCCCACCTCAAAAAGCCTCAGTTTCCTCATGTGATTTCATAGAAAGGTATTTCCTGGTTCTTAGAATAGAGCAGTTTAAATTCTTTAAATTTTCTGAGTGATATGGGCAATAAGAGTGTCTTTTGTCCCAATGAGGCAACTCCTGACAGGACTCTGGATAGTTGCAGGGTGAGGACAGATGGCCATAAAGGCCAAATCTTGATTAGAAGCCTGGAATTTTCAGCTGCCAACGTAAGAATCATTTAAACCTGTAGAGAATTTTTATGAGTTTATTTGAGTCAAACTGACGACAATTTCCAGGAAGCCAAATCTCAACGAAAAGTGGCAGTTTTGCACCATACGTTATACATTACAATCAAAGCAGGATGGATAAGGGGTTAAATAAAATCCATTGGTGATAGTTTAGGAAGGTGGGAGAAAGCAAAACAGGGAAATCTCTGAGATTGGATAAAAAGTAAAACAAATAGACACATACTTCTTTTGCATTGGTTGATAGAGGATAGTTAGCAGCTAACAATTAACATGATGACAATAGCAATGAGGGGTCTGTGGCTTCTCCTCTGGTGCAGTGAGGTTCTGGAAAAAAAGAAAAAATTTTCCTGATATTCCAAATGTAAGTTATCTCGAATGTAAAAAGACAAGACAAGTTCACTTAACATAAAGATTCCCCTTTGTTAGGAAAAAATACTTAAGACATAATTACCACTATGAGTCACTTTTAGTTAGAAAGTTGTCATTTCAGGCTATACTATGTGGTTACTTTAAGTCTATGATTTTTCAAATCATACTATGCAGGCGTCCTCTGAGCTTGTCAGCTTTAGTATGTGGCCCCATTTTCATCCACACCTCCCCCTTTGGGTCATAAATCAAATGGAATGATTCACTGATGACCAACCTTTTGGTTGAAAAATGTGGTTTCATGGTGTAGAAAGACTCATCACTAGGAAGTCTTAGTTTACCTAGCTGATCTATGGACCACTGGGGATAGGGAAAGACTGTAACCTTGGATGGAAGTCAAGGTCAAATTTTCTCAAAAGTGAAAAGCAGTAAATGGGAGTCAGTCAGGTTCCACAAGTGTTCATTAAGAAAAACACTTTGTCCATGAACAGTCTTGCTAAGTGATTCAAGTATCAGCCTGCAGTTCCTGGTCAAGGTCATGTGTCTGGGTTGTAGGTTCAATCCCTGGCCCCAATCAGGATGCATACAGGAGACAGCCATTTGTGTCCCTCTCATATCGATGTTCCTCTCCCTCTCTCTTTTTTCTCAACCTCCCTCCCTCCTCTCTCCCTTTTATTCTTTCTAAAAATCAGTGGAAACAATATCCTTGGGTTAGAATTTAAACAAAACAAAAAATAAAAATAAAAAAATAAAGAAAAACGTTTTGGGATATTCCTAACCTATAAGCTATCATGATCCAAATTTTGCTGTCTGTCTCATTTCTCTGTCTTTTTCATCTAGTATCATATTTGCTTATAATTTGAGGGCACACTATACACCTCTTCAGTTTTCACAATCTGATCATGAGATGGGTTCCCATTTACAATGGTCCACTTATTTCCCATTAGAAACACTCAAGGGTCATTCATTATTAATCTGATTCCTGCTGGTTGTGCAATTTGGAACTGTAATCATATTTGGGGACAAGGCTGTAAGAACCCAATGGTGTATATTACAATTATCATCTAAAAATTTCATAGACCAGGAAGACAGTAAGAATATCATAAGTAAATTTCTTGTGCCTCAGCAGCAGTTATACAGGGCCATGTTTTATAGATACTTCAGCTTTATTTGAATTAATATGGTTAGTAGTCTTTGTTGGGTTAGGGTATAAGCATATCCCCATAAATAGGTTTTGACATTTCTACATAAAATTTCTCAACATTCCTTTCCACTAACCTCTACAGCTTCCCTTGTTTTCAGATTGCCTCTTTTTACTCATTCAGAAGTAATTAACTTGTTAGGTCAAACTACTTACTTTTAACTTCTCTTAAAAACACCCAGCCTGACTGGCGTGGCTCAGTGGTTGAGCATCAACCTATGAACCAAGAGGTCACAGTTCGATTCCGTCAGGGCACTTGCCTGGGTTGTGGGCTTGACCCCCAGTGTGGGTTGTGCAGGGGGTAGCCAATCAATGATTCTCTCTCATCATTGATGTTTCTATCTATCTCTCCCTTTCCCTTCCTCTCTGAAATCAATAAATTTTTTTTTAAAGAACACTGCCAGATCCCTTTCCTCCTTTTGCAATAGCATTCCCTCTACATTTTAAAAAGTTATCATAAATAAAAGCCAGGCCCTGAGCGAATTTGCCTAAGACCAGCTGGTAGTGTGCAGGTACTTGACTTCATGCAGGAAAGATTTCAGAAGATGAGTTCAGGTGATTTTGAGACAATGTTTATTAAAGCTGGGGGCAGTGACACAAGGAAGGGCCTGGGATGCAAGAAGCAGTAGGAGAGAGACAAGGTCTTGCTGCTTTGGCTCTCTGGAAACTTTATGGGACAGAGGTGAGCCTATGTGAGGCTGCTGACAGCTCACTGGAGAGTTAGAGGCAAGGGGACTTGGGGACATCAGGGGGTTAGCCCAAGATGAGCTAGTGCTGCCTATTTTTCCTGTTGTTCCAACTCTCTTGGGTATCACTTATGGTTTAGGTGAAAGAAAATTCACTGGAAAAGGAGATTTGAGAGGGTGTGCCCCAAGAGGGGCACATGCTGGCTTCTTTGCCTTGAGGGGTTCTATCTACTTTTCAAAGGTGGGGACTTAGAGGAGGTCTCAGGGAAGATCTCAATAGAATATGTATCAGCATTTCCAGGTTTGCCCTTTCAGATCCTGGTCTCCACTGATTGGTCAACAGCAGGACAGGAGGTCTAAGCCAGATGATGAATGGTATGCCTTGGGAGGAAAGGCCACCCTGAAGGCAAGGTCTAGGATCACTTTTGCCTGTTGCTAGGTACCGAGGCTTTCTGCCCTGGTGACCTTCTGCATCTGGCTGTAAATTGCTAGGCCAGTTTATTCAGCTATCTGTCTCAGTTTCCCCATTCTACATGCCAAGGAATATTCCACTTCTTACTACAATTTGACTACATTTCTTGTGAATGACTTCCAAATATTTCTGACAGACTAGTGATGTGTCAAATGAAACAGTCACTAATATTCTTAAAATGTAAGGCTTCTTGTAAATAAGGTTCTTATTTGTTTTTTTTAAGGTTCTTATTTATACAAGTCAAAATTGTTCCTGTTGAGCTAGAGTTGGCAGAAAAAAGAGGGATGTTCAACAGAATAGAGTCATCCATGGGATTAACAGCCACTTACACCAGAGGGGGAAAATGGAAGGATCAGGGAAAGTCTCCTGCTTACTTAACCCCCTCACATAGACCCTGGATCTAAAGTTCTGGAACCCTTTTTCTGTCCTCACCTCAGGGAGTCCTGGGCTAGGAGAGGTTTGTGAACTTCCTCAGAAGCATGAGTACAAAAAGATTGGAGAAAAAAGGAACAAAGCAATTGCTTCTTTAAAAATCCATCCCCATTAACAACACCACCATAAATTAGAAGATTTAATATTGTTAACTGTCCATACTACTCAAAGCAATCTGCAAATTCAATAAAATATATTGTAATCCCAAAGGCATTTTTAAACAAATAAAAATATCATTCTTAATTCAAATGATATCTCAAGGAACCCTGAGGATACAAAACAATCCTCAGTACTTTCCTGTAAACCAGTATTTAGTGTAGACTTTATTTTATCTGTTTAATGCTACTCACATTTAAGCCAACTTTCTGTGATTTCTTTAAATTCAAATCTCTGAAGTACATCATAGATGGAGAACCTTTCTCTTTGAGCTACAGGGGTGGAAGAGGGGTGGTCCTGTTCATTAGAGTAGAGAAAGACAAAACCCCTTCCCATTCCTTTTCAGCTCCTTTAGGTTAGTTTGTTGTGGTGCCGCCCTCTGGTGGCCAAATTACAACTTGCACCTCCCAAATAGGGCCAAACCATTTTTTCTTAAAACATTTTTTAAAAATTGATTTAAGAGAGGAAGGGAGAGGTAGAGAGAGACAGAAACATCAATGATGACAGAGAATCATTGGCTTCCTCCTGCATGTCTCACACTGGGGATCGAGTCTGCAACCTGAGAATGTGCCCTGAGTGGGAATGAAACCATGAACTCCTGGTTCATAGGTGGACACTCATCCATTGAGTCACACTGGCCAGGCTCAAAACATTTTTACCACCCCAGGGTCTCTGCTAGGGACGTAATCCAGTAAAGTGATTGTCATTAAGGATTTCAACAATGGTGGGTAAGGACACATATGTAATACCTTAATCAATAAAGAAAAAAGAGAATTTCAAAATGGCAAAAGCAAAGTATTAAACCTACTGCAGGCCCTTCTAAGTGACTTCACAGATTTCGATCCATGAAGTTGGCCCTCCCTATCAAGGGAAATGGATGTGTTCATCCTCTAAGTTAATTTAATCCCATATTTAAGTCATAAAATACCTAGAGACCTACAGTCATCCTCAATGTGAGAACTAGAGACTCTCCCTCTAAAGATGAACAAAACGATAAGATTTCTAAGTGCCTTAGTAAGACACGTGTGCTCTGAAGGGTGGAAGTGGATGCCTGCTGCTGTTGATTGTCTATGACAACAACATCAGTGATGACAGTGACAACAGTGTCAGGGTCAGTTCTAATGATCAGCAGTTTAAGCAAAGTATGAACTGTAAGGTCATTCAGGACTCTGACCATTCACGAGTCTGACATATCTATGAGGCTTTCATGGATCCAATACTCTGGGACATGCTGGATGGTAACCTCCAGGGTAAAGGAGAAATTTCTGTGCTTGTACCTTCATCTAACAAAATCAGAAATTACAGAGGTGAAAAAACAACAGACCCCACAGAAATACAAAAGATTGTTAAACAATAATATGGACAACTCACTCCAACAAATTAGACAACCTGGAGGAAATGGACATATACCTAGAAAAATACAACATTACAAAACTCAATCAGGAAGAATCTAAAAATCTCAACAGGCCAATAACTATGGAAGAAATTGAAGCAGTCATCAAAAAGCTTCCAGCAAACAAAAGCCCTGGACCAGACGGATTCACAGGGGAGTTTTACCAAACATTCAAGGAAGAACTAAAACCTATCCTCCTCAGACTTTTCAAAAAAATTCAAGAGGAAGGAACACTTCCAAGCTTATTCTATGAAGCCAGCATCACCCTAATACCAAAACCAGGTAAAGACAACACAATGAAAGAGAATTACAGGCCAATATCCCTCATGAACATAGATGCCAAAATCCTCAACAAAATCTTAGCAAATCAGATCCAGCAGTACATCAGAAAGATCATACACCATGACCAAGTAGGATTTATTCCAGGGAGGCAAAGATGGTACAATATCCACAAATCAATAAACGTGATACATCACATAAACAAATTGAAAGAAAAAAACCACATAGTCATATCAATTGATGCAGAAAAAGCATTTGACAAAATCCAACACCCATTTTTGATAAAAACTCTCAGCAACGTGGGAATAGAAGGATCATACCTCAACATAATCAAAGCTATATATGACAAACGCACAGCCTACCTCATACTCAATGGACAAAAACTAACACCATTTCCCCTAAGAAAAGGAACAAGACAGGGATGCCCACTCTCACCACTCCTGTTCGATATAGTACTAGAAGTATTAGCCATTGCAATTAGATAAGAAGAAGAAATAAAAGGCATCCCATTGGAAAAGAAGTAAAACTGTCCTTATTTGCAGATGACATGATATTATACATAAAAAAACCTGAAGACTCCATCAAAAAACTATTAGACTTAATAAATGAATTTGGCAATGTAGCAGGATACAGAATTAATACCAAGAAATCTATGGCATTTCTATACACCAATAGTGAACTTACCGAAAGAGAGACTAAAAAACAATCCCATTTACCATCGCACCAAAAAAAATTAAGATACCTAGGAATAAACTTAACTAAAGA